GACTCCCAGTAGCAGACACTCGGATATACTCACAGATACTCGGTGAGTATTCAAGGTACATCAAATGGGTGTAACAAAAGCAAAAAGTCATCAGAGCAGTCAGACATTCGTATTTTAGAGATTCTAGAGCTGAAAATTAAGTAATAAGAGACATGATTTTTATTTTATTAAAAATTAATTTTTAAACTCTTTAAATAAAAACTTCCTGCACTTGTCAGGCTATCATCTTTTTAAGAATCAATCAAAAACATATTCATAACACCTTAAGAGTCTGTAAAAATAAAAAAAAGTATATTAAAATATTTATTTATTCAACCTCAACACTGAATCCCATAAAACTGATTCACGCAGCCAACACCAGTTGGTATATTTTTGGCGGCGATGAGGAAAGTCACTTCACCTCCATGCCCCTACATCCTTAGCCAGGACTCATGGCAGAGTCAGCATAAAATTCAGACAGAATCCTCTGCTCTACAGTCCCGGGTTGCTGTCGCTTTTTATGGCAAATTGTCAGCGCTGTCGTAATTTTTAAGTTAAAAAATTGTTAAAAAATTTTCGTAGCATTCATTACCATGCCACCGACTGCTACGCCTGCCACTCACTCACTCAGTTCGGTTCTGGTTGGTTTTCGGTTTGGGAGTTTGGGAGTCGGACTCGGGCCCCACTGTGATGTCTGCGTGTTGCACAATAATTTATTGCCGCACAATTGCAGCTGCCACACATTCCAATGCACTTGGCGCCCTGGCAGCCGCCCGGAGTTGGGTTCTTGGGGGGCCGGCAGCCTTTGGATTCCCATCCATTTGCCAGTGGTGTGGTGAAAGGGGGGCGCCCCCAGTCCGCTTCTTGTCAGGGCACCCGCGGCGCTTGTAAAAGCAACTCACATTTGGCGTTGATTTCCAACGGAGGATGCCGGCTTGTCGTGCTGTCATGGCACCGTATCCCCACCCAGGACCTCTTGGAAAATACCCATTCCTATTACACAAACGTAATGTAATTTTAAATTTATATTCCCGACTAGATTAAGGCACTGCTCTGGCAACGTGCTCGGATGCAGGAAAAATGTTTATTCTAATGAACTCTTTTTGGAGAAGGGATTCCAAGGGATAAGTATTATCTGAAAGTGTTTTTAGGAATTCCTTTTAAGAGAAAATAAATGACCAACAATTAATTGTAATGTATGGAAATTGCTTGCCTAATAGTTACTCGAAAGACCCTTTTAAAAGGACAAACATCATGCCAATTTATAGAATTACATTGACTTGTCAAGTTGATTTAATACAATATATATTCCTGTCCATCTCGATCCGCATGGCTCTGCATTACATTTAGCAATAATCAAATGCAAATGCAATTGGATATTTTGCAAACATTGTGCACTGGTACGTCTGCGACTAGAAACTGCTGTCATTTACTGCACAGCCATTAGGGATAGATTCTATTCGATAGGGGTGACTCCATCCCGACCCTCTTATGACAGATGGAGGGGGAATGGATATCCTTTTGATAGAGATTGCGGTCTGACAGTGGCTTTTGCGGTCTGGTGTTCGGCGTCTTTGTCCATTAGAGGGCTTGCGAAAAGTGTCAATTACAACAGATGTCAGAAACAATCAGGCGCGTAAATAAGTCATAAGGCGGCAACGGCCACACACGTGACATCGGATCAGCGACTCCTTAGCCCAATATCCTGACCGGCCAGATACCTGGACTTCCTTGGGAGGTAATCGATATCCATGAGGAAACCCAATTGCGTGCGGCTAATTAATGGTTGGATGGGTGACGCGGGAAAAGGTGTCAGATACAAAACAAAGACATCGCGGGTCAAAACTGTTAACAGCCAAATGGTCGGAGGCCGTGGCGTGGTCATTGTGCGTGTGTGGGCCCAATCAATAGCCAAATTATGGTAATCAATTTTAATTAGAGAGTGGGTCTGTAAAAACGCACAACCACGCACAACCCTTCAGGCTAGAGCTTCACTCAGTCCTGTCCAAACTCAACTGAACTGAAGTGGATCTGAGCTGAATGGACTTCTGAATCTGAATGGACTGGAACTGCAATTGACGTGGTCAAAGCGCAGCTCATAATCCCATTATCATTTTGAAGGAACACGGAGAGAAAATAGGTTTAAAAATCTCTATAATCTGGTAGGCCAAGTAGGACTAATTCTCTCAGTGGAAGCAGCACAATTGGCATTGAGTATTGAGCTAGGATTTTTGCTTATGTCAAAATTCCAACAATGGCCAAGTGGAATGCCCGAAATTGAGGCTGACAGCCCTCCTGAACGGGCCTTGCCCTCGAACATAAATCTGACGGGCAGTCCTGCATGAGAGGAGAGGTTGGCAGAAGCCCATTGAAGCTGAACAATTGCCAGAGGCGTTGGCTTCAAATTCCATTATTTGGATTAGACCAATTGTTGCTTTGCAATCGAAACTGTATGAAATATGAAAGAAATTTCTGCAATTTCCATTCCAGCATACAAATTGGCTTTCGAAATGAGGCCTAAATGATTGTAGAAGGCTTAATCAACTAGGCCTAAATGGAAATAAACAAGTAGATTGATTTTGGGAATAGCGATATTAATATTTACATTTATGTGTAAGCTTTATCGTTCAAGTTAATTGCTCTAACTATTTTTCCAAGGCTTTTTAATATTATTCCTCGTAACAAAGCCTTTTTTAGCCATTTCAATTGGCCATTTTCAAAAATTACAAACCAAAATGTTGAGCCGGAGTCTGCCTTGCTTGCCAATCTGCTCAGGTCAAAGTTGGCAGTGCAAAGCAATTTGAAAAGTACACAACATCGGGCAACTGGAGCAGCTGGTCCTGCCAACTGCTATTAACAGTAAATGACTGGCCTAATTTATGCACCTTGGTCTAAGCCACCTACAAAGGGGGAGAGGGGGAAATTACAATTGTATTGCAGTCAACATTTCCATTGCCATTTTGCATTTTGGTGGTGAGGGGAGAACATGCCGCAATGCCGTAACTTGATGGAATAGCTAAGCCAAAAACCAGCCACAGACAGGGCTAGAACTCAACTGAAACTAGTGCCCTCTTTTCCCCATTCATCAAAGGCACTGAAAGAAAAGTCTACAAAATAATATATGATTTCAAACAACTACAACCAGGAGTTTAAGCCAAAAAAAGCATGGTTTTTCTGTATAATTTACATAACTTTTAATATATTTACTTTCAAAGAACCTCCTTTTATCCTCAGTGTAGTAATTTTTTCTGTGTTCCTGCATCTAGAACTGGGGGAAATTGCTTTGCACAATCGAAACGCACGAAATGACAATATAAATCGAGGGGCGGAACTAATTTTGGCAAAAGACTCGAAATAGGCCGGGCACGACCACAAAACCCGAAATGATGATACTTCAAGGGATGGGATGGGCTTGCCAAAAGTTATACGGGATGGGGGATAGAGCTGCGTCAGAGGGGTGAGCCATCATTTCAGCTGGTGCCCTCTTGGCCCACAACTGAAGGTCTGAATTGGCCAAAATTAACGCAACGAGTAGAAAACTTTTTGTATACGGAAATTGCGTAACTACGCATTAATGAAGAAAAATTGCAGCACGCTGGCCGGGGCGTGGGGATGGGATGGAAAACTACTACAACCTGGTGGGGATGGACCATTGAGAACAGTCAGAGACTAACTGGGAAAACTTTCGGAAATTGGACGACACTTTAGGCCATAAAGGGGCTCTGATTTATGCCAATTGAAGCTCGTCCAGGTAAACTGCCACATAATGAACTGAAAGTCTGAAATGAATCTGCCCAGTTAGGGGGTGATTATGGAGTCTTGTAGTGCTGAGGGTGCGTACATGGGATTAGCAACTGCTTTGATCATCACCGTCGTCTAATCATTTATTATTTGCAGACCAAGACGCAGTCGGTTGGTAATTCTTTTATGGCCAGTCATTAAATCCCAGGCCGGACAAATGGAGACATCTTCCATTTATGGCCTAGCAGACTGCCGCCCGGAAAACTACAGTCATCGTTTATCATCTGGTGGCTAATTAATTGTAAAGTTTTTCTCTACCAACTTTGAAGTCCTTGGCGCCCATTAATATTGTCACAGATGTCATAATTGCTGGCACAACAGTGCGGATGATTAATACATCAAAGTTTCGCAATTGTATTTGCAAAAAGAAAGTCTTCTTCTCCACAAGTCTTTAAGGAATTCTAAGTTTGAGTAACGATTTCAATTTATTAAATTAGTTTTAATAACATTTAATAATATCATCACTTGGCAGCAGCCGGAATACTTTCCGGGATTGGCTTAGACCCCCACGCCATAAGCCGGCTTTGGTTACGGCCCTCGACTTTGGCTCTGGCTTGGCTTTAGCATTTCGGGTCATAGTTCAACGCGTACAAGGAATTTGCACAAAGGCGCCAAGGCAACCGCCCCGGCTCCCCCGCACAATTTTGAGTTTCACCAGCACCCCCGCCCGGATGGGGCTTATGCCCATTGTTTGCACTGTTGCCAGTGCCAACCATCAAGAACATTATGCAAAAGGCTCCCGGGCTAAGATCTGGCCACAAGTTATAAAACTGCCTGGTGGTCCCCCCACATCCCATCATCATCTCCAGGACGCACGCCCACCTCCTATCTGACAAATTTCTCTCGCTTTTGTTTAAATTTTGCGCTCCGGAAATTTGCTTATCGCCGCGTTTCAGTTGCGGCTCTCGATTCCAGCGGAGGCCGAGTACAAATGTGGCAGGGGGGGCCGGCCTGGGCTGGCCATGTTTTTGGAGGGGCAGCAAAGTCAATAGGGAGATTAGTGCGGCGAGCATTGAGCCGGCACAGAGCTGTGCTAATTGAGCGACGGGTCATGGCAACAGCTTAAATCAATAGGACCTCCCCGGGTTCATTCCACATGCAACCCGATTGAAAGAGAAACTTTCCCAGGGTTGATGCGACAACTGAATTAATGATACAGCTAGCTTTAAATCAAATTCAGAATTAAAGTACACTTCTTCTTGCATTCTGTAAACTATTCTTTTCTTTATTAAAATATCGTCTTTCAAACTCAATACAAAATATTATAAAATCCCCAAGCCGAGACCGCCAGGCCTCTTGCCTCTTCCAGGGCTACCTCCAGCAGAGCCACCTTTACCGCCTCCTCCCACAAGGCCGCCTAATCCCAAAGAGCTACCCAATCCGCCCACTGTCTGGCCCAGTCCTCCGCCCAGTTGTCCCAAAACGTTGCCCAGACCCTCACAGGTTGTGGAGCTCAGAGGCGAGAGGGAGGCACCCAAAACGGACAATTCGCAGAAGCGGAAATCATTGGAGGTCTCCAACTTGGTGTCGATCTTTATGAAAGGAGTACCCTTTCCCGTGACACTCTGGAAAAGGGATGAGCCACCCTTGTTGCCCTTATCCTTGCCTCTGTTGGCAAACTGAACCAAGAGATCGATGAGGTTGTGGCGCACTTTGAGATCCTCCGAGCTGGTCAGGCGAGTCCCCACCAGGGGATTCCCGAAAATATCGTTGGCATCGAACATGTAACCGATTTCGTCGCCATGGGCCACTGTCTCCGGCTTGTCATTCGCTGACTCCGAAACAATGGGCAGGCCCCGGAGGAAGTTGATGCCTTTGGACTTGGTGCCATTGTACTCAAAGCTGTACATAAAGGCCGGAGCTACTTTGGACCACACCTGGGTGGTCAGGACAGCGGGTAAGTTGAAAAGTACATCCGTAGTGGACTCTATCACCTTCGAGAGAACCTGATCCAGATTCAGAGTCTGTGGCACTTTCCACACATCTTGCAGTGTGGGTGTCAGCACACTGGTGAGTCCCGGAAGTTGGGGCTTGGCTATTTCCCCAGTTAACTGGTCTATTTTCAGGAAACTGGTCAGCTTGTTGAGGGAATCACTGAGGGAGCCCAGAAATTGCTCTGCCGATCCAAAGACCTTGTCGATTGTTTCCACCGACACCGAATTGGCCGTCTCGTGTTTGGTGACTCCTGTTAACAAGGGAATTCCCTCAAAGTTGGAGTTGTTGAGCTGTTGTTCTGGTTCTCCAATAATGATGCTTGGCAGTCCGCGACCATCCTCCTCCGACTCCACATGGGGCTGGAAGCCCACGTTTCCGGTGAGTCCCTTGACGAGAGCCCGACCCGCCAACCGTTCGGTTTGAACTTTTTCATCATTTTTAATAATTTCCACGGCACTTTTCTGGAAAGGATTAGGAAAAGAGTTAGTTGTCCCATATGTGTATAATTTCGCAAACATACCCCCCTCATGCACTTGACTATCTCCAGCTCATTGCCACCGGGACACCCGTTGATCTTGGCCACCTCCTGGACACTCTGGACCGGCTCCTTGTCCATCGCATACTGGGAGAGAGCCGTTCCCGACATGGCCACCACCCCGTGGACATCGCCGCCACTCTTGGCTGTCTTGGACATGGACAGATACATGGCACTGGCCGCTCCCGAGCCATGACCAATGGCCTGGACCTGCTTGGGATTGCCTCCGAAGTAGCTGATGTAGTCGGTGACCCAGCGGAGGGCTGCTGCCAGGTCGAACATGGCCAGGTTTCCGTCAAACTGCTTTGTTCCATCGCCCATGATGCCCAGAGATCCCAGCCGGTACTGGGGAGCCACCACAATGGCGCCCCTCTGGGACATGGGCGTGGCATCGTACTGGTTGGCAGAACCGTAGCGATAGCCCCCCGGATGGATCCACACGAAGACTGGCAGACCCGAGCTCTCGTCCGGCATCTGGGGAGTGTAAATGTTGAGGAGTAAGCAGTCCTCATCTCCGATGATTCTCTGGGGCTGCTGGGGATGCGGTTGGATGCAGGGGGGACCGTGACGCGTGGCATTCATATCCCCGGCTAGTCTCTTGTAAACCGGACGGGAGTACCGCAGCTGGCCCACCGGGGGCTCGGCGTAGTGGATGCCCAAGAAACTGTAGACACCCGTAGAGGGATTCCGGATGCCCTCCACCCGGGCATCGCGGTTGAAGAGACGCGCGAAAACCACCGGATCATCCACGGGCGGAGCTTTCGACTGCTTCCCGCCCACAATGCGTTTCACTCTCACGTGGGAATCCTGGCTTGAGTCACACCTGACCAAGGTCACCCCTAGAAATAGTAATATCCCGAAGTTCCGCTTCAGCAGCTTTAGCATTTCGCTTCGTTCGATTGTCAACTGGGAACTGAGAAGCAGAATCTGCCACTGAAATCCAAGCCCCAGCTCAGAAATGAGCAGCGAGGCCGGCTACTTTTGCTCAGCTTGGCGATAAACAACTGCGAGAAATAAAATAATAAAAAACAAAAAATAAATAAAAAGTAGCAAATGATAAAAAACGAGATGCGGCGAGCTTGCGTGCTTCTCCAGCTGGATAAGACCATGTTTGGGGGCATGAGAGGCTCCTTCATTCTAATCACGTACTTTACGCCAGTTCAAGCTGGCATAGTTCACTGAGTCACTCTTGGGAATTGAGAAGTAGCTGGGTGGGATATTTGAATAACTTTTTAGTGAATAAAAACTTTAAAAAACTTAACAAAACTCACTACAAAAAGCCTAAAATCCAGACTTCCCTGAACCGAAAAACCTGTTCTTGCAATTCACAAACCGATTAAACCCCGAGACTGATGTCTCTGCTCATCTTTTGATTTGAATGAAGGCAATTAAATCGGAGACAATTCGCTATATTACCTTATTACTTTATTCGCAACGTGCTATATGTTTACCCCCCCCTGGCCAAGCTTTATAAACTGGTCGGTTCGGTTTTTCCCATCCGTACTATTGTTTTTGTTTCCGATGTTGCAGTTCGCAGAAAATCGGTTGCATGAGCAAAATAATAATGAGACTTTAAAGACGACACCGGGCATTGTCTGTAAAGTGGCTGAAAAGTTCAAAACACTCAGTGCCATATTTTACAGCTGTGCGGCATTATCTTTTGCCCAGATGAGTTATATTCTTCGGCATATTTACAGCCAACAGAGTAGGGCTAAACTGAGGCAAAAAGGCATCCCGGAAACGGAAACGGAAGCTGGAAAATATCAAGAGGCAAACGCATGTTGAGATTTAGAGTTAGTGGGGGTACAAAATAGAGATAGAGGGGACTCGTCCAGGGACTTGCTCCGGAGCACGCGTTCCTCATACTGACCAGCCGGGCTCTGTGGCATGAATCTCAATGTTGCAGGGCAGTCGGCTGTTTCCCCAGTCTTTCTCACTCCATTTCCATAACTCCGCTCATTAAAACACTGAGAAAAAGCCTTATACTCTATGTACTCTTGGTACAAACAGAGTAATATCATACGATTTAGATACCATAAGCCCCACAATTCTGTACAGTGTAATACTTCTCTCATGTGTCGCAGACAATGGCCAAATGACATTTAAAGTTACGGCAATATAATTAAGTATACAGCTGGGAGTTGACGCCATCAGAAGCCGGATTGGCAGTCAGGACAGAAGCTCAGGACAGGAACAGAAGCACTTGCCCTGGCCAAGGAATCATTATATATGTATGAAAAGGGGCCACTCAGTGTTCCCCTTGTCTTTCTCTGAGGGGCATGCAACACGCAAACTTCGTCCAGATGCAGCCAGTGGAGCCAGAGACCAATGTCAGACCCACTTCCTGGCCGTCCAACTGCCCGGCACGCCTCAGTATTTAACGAGATTAATCTTTTTTGCCCCGACTATCTGCTGCCATCCTGCTAGGATCTGTCCCTGTCACAGACGAGTCCTTAAAAAGTTATTAATCTTAGGGCTATCGAGTAAATATTTTTCATTTAATTGAGTTTGAATAAGCCATCAAAGTGATTTGCATAAAAGTTGATACTGTTTCTAGGAAGGGGAGACATTCTCCAAAAACAGAATGTGTTTATCCGAGAATTGAAAATTTATCCAGACACATCAGAAGCGTTTACAAAGTTTAATTTAATTTTAAGCTAGACAAAGTACACACTTTTTACAAACACACTAAAGTTTAAGGATTTCCTTTTAAAAACTTCAACGAAAACAAAAATGTAAAGATAACTTTAGGCGGAGCAAAACTTAAGCAAAACCCTATATGGCCCACAGTGTTGGCTATATCTTCCCCAAATCTGGTCCGATTCTCAAGCGGAGTACCTTAAACGATTTCTGGATCGATTTGCCACCATACTGCATCAAAATCCTGAGACAAAATATTTTTTCGATTTTTTGTCCATTTTTCGTGGTTTTCCCCTATATGTCCCAAAGTGATGGCTATATCTTCCCCAATCCTGATCCGATTCTCAAGCGGAGTATTTTTAACGATTTCTGCATCCATTTCCCATCAATCTGCGGCAAAATCTTAGAACAAACTATTGTTAATATTTTGTTTTCTAATTTTACGGAGGGTCCCGGAGGTACATATATCTTTGCAATTAAAATTTCTAGACCGATCCCCTATCCGAACTTAGCTTTCCTTTGCCCAGTATATGGTAACATTTTCCTTTGTTTTTTCTATTAATCTCCTTTGATCCTAGTCTTTCTTATTTATTTACAAGCAACATCTAATTTTATCATCATTCTTGTTGCCCTCGAAGCCCTTATTAATTATCCTGCTTATCATTTATCCAACTAACACATTTTGCAGCCTAATTTATCTTTATTTTTTCGTTGCTGCGTATTGTGTGCCACACGCAAGGCTCTATGATTTTTCCAGCTGCCCCCGTTCGATAGAATTTTCCTCATTTTCCCTGCCAGAGACTAAGGATTGCGTGTGCCACACCCATAAGTCGACGAACGCCTCCGTGGAAATTAGTGGCAGCTTCCCAGCTGCTGCTGATGCGATTTTGATGTGCAAAATATTAATTATAAAACAATAATTGAATTGTGCTCTTGTTCGTGGCAGCTGAAAGGTGAGTTTCTTCGACTTGCCCCTGAAATCCGCCGACCCGGCACACACGCCAAAAGTTCATTACATGGAAGCTATTTTTCTTTAGCCCCAGCCCGGCAGATGTTGGTATTTGTTTTGGGAAAACAAATTAGTTTTCCATGATTGCTGTTTAATGAAATAAATCAGATTCTCATACATAGTCAGTCAGGTGGCCGAGTCTCATCTCTCGGATGGATTCCATTAATATTTATTTGGCAACCTTTTATGCTTCGCACAGAACCTGCATAATTTCCATTCGCAGTCAACTATAAAAACGCACAACAGCGTAAGTAATACAAAAATAAAATTTTATATATAATAAAAAATATGGCCAAAGGAAACAATGTACGACACGGGGGATCGCAGGACCAACACAACAAAAAACAAAAAAATAAAAAGAGGAGAATCGAAAACAAAACAAAGTTAAACCCAATACATTAATGGTATTTGCATTTGTACTGATTTTATTTGGTTTTTATTGAATTGATAAAATCACAACGAACGGGCAGGAACAAACCGTAGTTGAGGGCTGGTTCGATGGTTGGTTGGTTGGTCTTCGTCCTTGTTCTCGTCCTGTTCCACCTTCTCGCCCCCCAACTGCCAATTTGATATTCCGATTGCAATTTATGTCCTCCCGCCAAAACACGCACACCCTCACTTACACATAAGCTGCTTGTCAGTGTGTGTATCTGTGTATAGTATGGGTGTGTGGGAGAGAGAATCTCTGTGATTCTTTTGCCCCCTGCCCCCTGTTGGAGGCTTTGGGTTTAAACATCTGCAATATGCTGCGTGTTCCGGGTAGCTGGCAACTCTGGACTGGGTTGCAAACGTTTTGGGATCTCACTGCAGTCAGTGCCTAGGAGCGAGTCCTGGCGATGTCCTGCGGGTAGTCAGTATGGCTGCTACGTGACACGAACCCTTTTTAAGCCAAAAAAATAAATATCACTGCAATTGAAAGTTTATGGAATACATTTTTTGACTAAAAGTTTTAGAGTTTTTTTTTGAAAGTCCTTTAAGGACTCACGCCATCATCTCCAGCTGGCTCGGGCGCGTGTTTATTTGGCACCACAAATGCGTTTCCTCTTCTGCGGCTCGGAGTGGGTTAAGGGTGGCTGCGTTTGGTGTCCTTACGTGGGGCTTTTGGGTGGGTTTGGTTCGGTTTGGTTGGGTTTTCTCTGTGGCAGCGACGTCAGCGGCGTTGTGGTTGTCGCTTAATGGAATTCCGTTCTTGCATTAAATGTGACACACAGAGGGAAGCTGCCAATTGGAATGCCACACACTCGCAAACTATACACACACACTCGCACACCCAGAGGAAACCCCAATAGACAGTGACAGTTGCCGTTAGCAGGAACAGTCAACTGTTACGAGTTGTCCTGCGGTTTGGCTTGTTTAAGTGTTAAATTAACGTTTTAACAGTTTCGATTATTCCGCCAGTTAATTTTTAATGTTTCCGTTCGCAAGCGAGACAAAAAATATACCATGTCCAGCGGCATATCCTTGGGCCTGTACATTTTCATTAGTTTAATTAAAATTTCATTCGCCCGCACGCGTCGCCTTGATATTTCCTTTTGCAGTTTCCTTTTCAAATTGAACCGCAAAAGTTTCTGGACAAAGGATTATTTCTTTGGTCGTCCTGCGAGCTGCACTCGAAATTTGCTGTCCTTGCTGGCCGCAAAACTTTTGCCACACGCATTCATATCAATTTGCCTTTCTTTTGTCCTTCCCCCGCCTCCGGCCATGTCCTTGCTGCATGTCCGGCCGGCCATTGACATAGCTTCCTTTTAGCCTGCCACGCTGCCGGCCTGCCTGCCTGCCACCCTTTACATATCCTTTTGTGGCTAGTTTTGTGAAGAGGAACTAAAAATAAATGTTGCCCGAACGCAAGGCCACAGAAATTATTGCGGTTTCCATCGAACATCGACAGGGAGTTCGGAACAAAGTCCTTGCCAAAGGACATTAAGCATTGATGTGAACTCTTGGTGAGTTGCAGGCCAGGCCTTGGAAGTAGGAGTAAGGGGATTTATCGCATTAGAACTTGTGGTGGTCACCATTAAGCCGCTTAAAACTTTGATAAATCTGGACTATCACAGAAGTTCAATTAGGAGTTCAGTTAGAAGAAATAGGCCAGAAACCACACGTTTTCTAACAAAATTTATGAGTTTTAAGCCCAAACATTTCTCATCGAAATCTTTTCTTTATGCATCTCCTAAGGTCATCACGGCCGAGGAGATAAATGGTCCAGTTGATAAAGTCCGAATGTGCTCACCTACCCGCATCAGCAGC